GAGAGTCAAATCAAGAATGCAATCCCATTTGCAATGGGTACACACACACACACACACACACACACACACACAAAATACCATCTAACCAATGAGGTTAAAGATACCTATAAGGAGAACTACAAGACACTGCTGAAAGAAATCAGGAAAATACAAGCAAATGGAAAAACATTTTATGCTCATGGATTGGAAGAATCAGTATTGTTAAAAATGGTCAGACTGCCCAAAGCAATCTATAGATGCAATGCTATTCATATCAAACTACCAATGTCACTTTTCACAAAATTAGAAAAAACTACTCTAAAACTCACACAGAATAAAAAAGAGCCCAAATAGCCAAAGCAATCCCAGGCAAAAAGAACAAAGCTGAGGCATATTACCTGACTTCAAACTATACTATAAGGTTACAGTAACCAAAACAGCATGGTACCAGTACAAAAACAGACATAGAGACCAAACAGAAAAGAGAACCCACAAATAAAGCTGCATATATCTACAACCATCTGATCTTCAACAAAGTCAACAATGACAAGCAATGGGGAAAGAACTCCCTAAACTATAAAAGTCCTAGAAGAAAACCTAGGAAATGCCATTCTGGATACTGGCCTTGGCAAAGTCCTCAAAAGCAACTGTACCAAAAACAAAATACACAATTGGGAACAAATTAAAGAGCTTCTGCACAGCAAAAGAGACTATCAACAGAGCAAACAATCTAGAGACCTTTGTTGGATGCACAGTTTGTGAATATATTTTTTGTGAATATTTACAGATTCACAAATATTCACAAACTGTGCATCCAATAAATATCTAATACCCAAAATCTATAAGGAACAATTCAACAAGCAAAACACAACCCCACTAAAAAGTGGGCAACACACATTTAACAGACATGTCTCAAAAGAAGACACACAAAATTAGCCAGGCAAGGTGGCACATACCTGTAGTCCTAGGTACTCTGGAAGGGATAAACAAATTGCTTAATTTTTCCTAACCTAACCTCATACTCTTTTTTTTTTTTTTTTTTTTTTTAAGAAATATTTGTTACCTCTGAAAATAGCTGGTCAGAAAAGTATAAATATCTAAACCTGAGGTTAGGGCACCCTTAACACAGTCAGTAGATGGAACATGCCTGCGTATATATGAAAGACTGCCCTCCATAATGACAAATAGTATGGTTACTGGAAAGAACATAGCTTGAGGGTCAAGCAGAAGCCTGGGTCCATGACTGTGTGACTGAACCTGTTGGCTTCTTCTTGCATAAAATGAGAATAAGTACAATTGGACCAGGTGTGGTGGCTCATACTTATAATTCCAACATTTTGGGAGACTGGGATGGGAGGATTGCTTGAAGCCAGGAGTTCAAGACCAGCCTGGGTAATATAGTGAGATCTAAAGCTCATAAAATAAATTGTTTTTAATTAGCCAAACATAGTGTCATGACTTATAGTCCCAGTTACTCAGGAGGCTGAGGTGGGAGGATCTCTTGAGCCCAGGAGTTCAAGATTATAGTGAGCTATGATTGGACCACTGTACCTGGGCCTGGGTGACAAGGGGAGACTCTGTCTCTAAAATAAATAAACACACAAACTCAGTTGTCATAAACTCAACTGTTTGTATATATGTATGTATGTATGTATGTATGTATCAGCTCATGGATTATTGATGGCACTTGAGTTCCAGGTATCCTTTATATATCTGAGTTTTTAAAAAAGCAGAACAGAGTTTTATATAAATTCTAACTTGCTGTTGGGGTTCTCTATTTTTTTAATTATTGCTATAACCCTTTCCTTTAATTCTTTATACATAATTTATTTAGGTCATAGAACCTATTTATAACAGCTGCTTTAAAATCCTTGTCTGTAAAATTTAACATCTGGAGACAATCAGCTATGATTTCTATTGTCTGCCTTTTGATCACTGCCACAATTTCCTGTCTCTTGGCATGTGTCATAATTTTACATTTAAAAATAGACATTTTATAAACTATGGTATAACAACTCTGGATTCTATGAAATCGGTCTTCTTCCACAATGTGCTAGTTGCTGACTTCTCTGCTCAGTTTTATTATTTCTTTTATTCTTGCTTTACTTTAAAGCCTGACTTTCAGGGTCTGGCCATGTATCTATGTATCTTAGTGGGTAGCCAATTATTCAACAGAGGATTTGCTCAAATACCCCAAGTCAACAAAAGCTGTTTTCCTTTGCCAAAGGATCTGCACATCTACCCAGATTTTTCTTTCCCCTGGACCCTTTTTCATGGTTCCTCTGCATCCACAGCTAATCATTATCTTAGGCTGAAAGAGCCACTGGCTCTCAAAGCACACATGCCACCAAAACAGTAATTTCTGCAGACAACGCTGGTAGGCATATGCAACACCTGCCACTCAGAGATGAGTGAGAATTTTCCAAGCACAGCAGGTAAGGTACTAGTCTTCACAACCTTTCTCACCCTGGAAGATCCTCTACACCAACTAATCAACCAACCAAACTTAGAAGAGGGAAAGCACAGAGTGGGATGAGAGCAGCTGCAGGCATGAATGCCACAGGTTCCCACTGTGGTTGTGCAAAGATTAGCAGTTTCTCAAGCTTAAACATTTTTCAGATTATTATATGCCTTTGGGTGAGTTTCGGAGTACTGCAATAGTTATTTTCACCTATTTTGCAGATGCCATTAAATCTAAGTCACAAACTCTTACCAATTTTTTTTTTTTGAGACAGAGTATCTCTCTGTCAGCAGGTGGGAGTGCAGTGGCAGGATCTCACCTCACTGAAACCTCCGCCTCCTGGGTTCAAGTGATTCTCCTGCCTCAGCCTCCTGATTCTCCTGTCCCTGACTCAGTCTGGGACTACAGACGCATATCACCACACCCGGCTAATTTTTTTTTTTTTTTTTTTTTTTTGCATTTTTAGTACAGCCAGGGTTTCACTGTGTTAGCCAGGATGATCTCGAGCTCCTGATCTCGTGATCCGCCTGCCTCGGCCTCCCAAAATGCTGGAATTATAGGTGTGATCCACCTCACCTGGCCTTTTTTTTTGGGGGGGGGGGGACAGTCTCACTGTTACCCAGGCTGGAGTACAGTGGAACGATCTTGGCTCACTGCAACCTCTGCTTCCTGGGTTCAAGCGATTCTCATGCCTCAGCCTTCCGAGTAGCTGGGATTACCAGCGTATGCCACCACACTGGGCTAATGCTTGTATTTTTAGTAGAGACAGGGTTTCACCTTGTTGGCAAGACTGATCTTGATCTCCTGACCTCAACTGATTTGCCCGCCTCAGCCTCCCAAAGTGCTGGGATTACAGGCGTGAGCCACTACGTCCAGCCCACAAACTCTTACCATTCTTAAATGTATTTATTTCAGTTTCTCTTCCACTACTATATTACAAACTACTCTGGCAGTCCTTCTTACTCTTTTACATCTGCTGCAATATTTCTCATTCCTTAAGATCTAACCTATGCTGTTCCTTCTCCATGAGGCTTTTTCTCATTAACTCATGTACACCGAGCTCTCCCTTCTCTGAATTCCTATCATGCGTCATTATTTCATAATTATTTTGCATGTGTTGTACTTTTTCTTTTCAGCCACATTCGTCAGTCTTTGGGGAAAGAAATTGGGTTTTCATGATTTTGCATCCTTATCCTATACCTGGCAAAGTGCTGAGTATACAGTAAATTCTCAAAGGCTTTATGTCTCAAAAAATTTACACTTGAGGCCAGGCGCGGTAGCTCACACCTGTAATGCCAACACTTTGAGAGGGTGAGGCGGGCAGATCATGAGGTTAGAAGACAGAGACCATCCTGGCAAACATGGTGAAACCCAGTCTTTACTAAAAATACAAAAAACTTAGCTGGGCACAGTGGCGCACACCTGTAGTCCCAGCTACTTGGGAGACTGAGTCAGGAGAATTGCTTGAACCCAGGAGCCAGAGTTCGCAGTGAGCTGAGATCATGCCACTGCACTACAACCTGGGAAACAGTGAGAATCTGTCTCAAAAAAAAAAAAAAATCTACACTTGAAGAAATGTGTCTTGTAGCCTATGAAGTCAAATAATACCATTAGGAAACAATAATCAAGACTCCATGACCTAACCCATGTGTTTGGTTTTTTTTTTTTTTTTTTTTTTTTTGGTAGCATTAGTAGTAGTAGTAGTAGCAGTAGCAGTAGTAGTATTGAGAAAAAAATCTTTATTCTTTTAAATTACCGTACCCAGAGAGAGACATTTAAATGAGACAGCAAACACACACACTTTTGAGTCATATATTTACCTCTTGAAACCTAATAACTCCTCACCTATTATTAGGTTAATTTATAGCTACAATGTTATATTATTAACATGTCATTCCCTTCTCCAATGCCACATAATCTGAAGTGTACACTATTTACTGAAAGCATGGGGCAGAGACTGCTAGTAGCCAACCTAATATCCATTTTGATCATTTTCCTTACTAACAAAACCTTAATCATTTCCCAGCTTTCCCTGAAGCTAGAAGTTCAATTTGAGAAAATGCAATAACTGGAAAGATATTTCTATTTGTTCACAGTATTATGGTAAGAAATAAAAAAGAAAATTCATGCAAAACGTTTAGAACAATGTCAGGCACATGCTATAGTATCAATAAATGTCATTTACTGTTAATAATAATTATTATATAATAAAAATGTTATTATTACCACCCAGTGGTAACTTCTAATCCAGTGTAAAAAGGCCATGATAAGTGGCCATATTAGAAACACTAAACTAAAAAATATTTTTCTCAACGTGAGGGTATATTCTAATCTGTTCCTGGCTTTATTTTGGCTCCTACTATCACCCTGCTTATGAAAAAACAGCAGAGAAAGCAGTTTAGTGACTGAGTCACAGGAAACCCTAAATATGTTTTACTTCCTCCTTCTTCTCTCTTATGAGAGCTTAATCTTATGGTTCCAAAGATTTTATCAAAGTTCGCCCTCTGGAATAATACAAATTTGTAATAGGTGATGCAAAGAATTTTTTAAATTTCCTTACCCAGAAGATCCAATGCTCTTACAAACACCAAGGAGGGGTCGTTTTTCAGCAAAGTTATCACATTTTTGAGCACCTGATAGGGAGGATAAAATAAACTGTAAGCTTTGAGAAATATCATTATATACTTCCCACTATTTTCATGCTTTCAAAATACTTGAAAAAGAAAAATATTCATTTTTAAGTTGATATAATTTATATAATTTACTGAATAAAAAGTAGAAAAGCTACTATATATTACCATTATATATTATATATGTAATCATTTTAAAAAGTTAATCAGGCTGGGCACAGTGGCTCACGCCTGTAATCCCAACACTTTGGGAGGCTGAGGTGGGCAGATCATGAGGTCAGGAAATCGAGACTATCCTGGGTCAACATGGCGAAACTCTGTCTCTACTAAAATACAAAAAAAATTAGCCAGATGTGGTGGTGACTGCCTGTAGTCCCAGCTACTCAGGAGGCTGAAGCAGAAGAATCGCTTGAACCTGGGCGGCAGAGGATAACGTGAGCTGAGATCGTGCCACTGCACTCCAGCCTGGGTGACAAAGCAAGACTCCATCTCAAAATAAAAAATAAAAAATTTTTTTAAGTTAATCGGCATTTTTTTCTTTTTTTGAGATGGAGTCTCGCTCTGTAACCCAGGCTGGAGTGCAGTGGCACGATCTTGGGTCATTGCAATCTCCACATCCCAGGTTCAAGCAATTCTCCTGCCTCAGCTTCCTGAGCAGCTGGGACTACAGCCTCATGCCACCATGCCAGGTAATTTTTGTATTTTTAGTAGAGACAGGGTTTCACCATGTTGGCTAGGCTGGTCTTGAACTCCTGAGCTCAGGTGATCCACCTGCCTCAGACTCCCAATGTGCTGGGATTACAGACGTGAGCCACCATGCCCAACCTGAACCAGCATATTTTTAATGTTTTAATTGGCAGCAATTTCAATCTTATATACATTCTCCATGAGATCAAAAAACTATTCCATACCCCACCAACTAATTACCTAAAACTAGTATAATCTTGAGGTCAAAACTAAATAAAGGTAGTTCAGGACAAGAAAATTGTAAAGTAATAGGTCATTCCCATTGATACACATAATTGCAAAAATCCTTAACAAAATATTAGCAAACTAAATAGCAACATCACAGAATCTTTAAAAGCCACAATAATTGATAATACCAGTACTAAATGTGATACGAAAGGACTATATAACTAAATTTAACTATACACATTGACACTTATTTAAGAGTTCCTCAAAAAATCCAAAAATTTGACAAAATTTTCTCATCATATTAATCAAAATTGAAATACAAATAACCCTTAATCCAATAAGTCATTGCTAGGAGTTCATCTTACATATATATTCAGACATGAGAGAAATAAATTGTATATAGGATTATTCACAACAGCGTTGTTTATAATACCAAAAGATAGAAAAATTCAAGTTTATAACGGAATATTTCCTACCACTGCAAAACAACAGAATGAATTACTCTGTAAAAACATGTAATGAGATAGAAGATTTGAAGTGGGGAAAAAAGGAATACACACAATAGGAAGATAGAGAGTAATATACTACCGTTTTTATGAAGAGAAAAAAGGACCTGCATACATGCATATATGAACTCCACAAGGATACATAAAAAAATCGTTAATAGTTACTTATGAGAGGGAAAATGAAAAAAATTATAGAAGAAACTTTTTTTTT